GATTGGAATTTATGACAAAGTCCACCTGAATCTCCTCGCTGCCACCATTGAGCTGGATCTTCAAGGCCAAAAGCACTATGTTGTCGTCGGGAACGAAGTGGAACGTGTAGGAGGAATCCCTCAGCCAAGACTTGCTCACGCCCTCGCACACGCACGTTCGCATCTGATCCTGTGAGTGTGGAGAGGATAAGAAAGGTTTATACTACACGTGAAGTACTTGGGTACGAAATATAAGATGGATATGCTGATGAGTTTTTTGATTTACATGAAGTGCGTGGCTATGCAAGGAAACATGGTTTAAGCAGATTATAAATTGTAACAGACTTGGTTTTGTTTGCTAGTAGGTGTTTAAGGGAGTATTGTCCCGATAACGTTTGCCTAAATTTAATAGAACAAATGATACACATTATAAACAAGCATCACACCTTGTTTATTATTCATTTTGAAAATAGGTAGTTAAACAGACAAGCAAAATTAAGTTAATGAAAAATATAATCCGTGACCTTGCTGATCAGTGACGACCTGTCCTCTCTAGACGGGTTGAGGTTGAGCGCCACCGCCCCGCTGGCGTCCCCGCTGGGCTTGGCGATGTGTTTGAGCACGAACACGCTCTCTTCCGGCGAGAGGACGTCCGCCGTGACCACGCTCTGCACGAACTCGTCGGAGGTCATCGTGAAAAAGCGAATTTCTGGCAGGAACGGACGGATCTCTTGGCGGAGGTTCTCGGGTGTGTTGGGCGTTCCTTTCAGCTTTAACTGGGCGTTTCCCCTGGGGGAAGCCAACCAACGTAGGGTAAATACTAGCACCAGCATGGTGATCCTAAGTAAGGAAACTATATCATGTGACATCAGTGTGACTGGAATGGAATTTACTTGTGGATAGAACACAGTCATAATGTTTAGTGAAATCAAGAACAAGCTTAAGACGCATTAACTTAGAGTATGTTCTATCGTTCATCTAGGTACAGTCTATCACCCATATGTGTGTCTATCTACCTTTTTTTTTATCTGCCTCTTTATTCAATTATCCGTCAATCAATGTTACTTTGTACTTGCTTACTGAAATTACTACTTCAGAACTAGCAAACAAAATACATCACATCTTTACAACGCATAAAGCACCACTAAAGCCCCCCTCCCCCCAAAAAATATAAGTCCGTCTTCCCCCCTTTTTTTTTACAAAATAAGCATCGTTGTCTTTATCCTACTCAGTCAATCTTCCATTACCCTCTCAGCTGTACCCGAAGAAGCTAGACTGATTTGGGATATACGCCAGTATCGGAGATCGAACCATCGACCGTTGGATAAGGAGCAGTATGTTGATAGGACACCTTATTTCTAGCATGTGATTGCATTAGCATGCGACTTCGAAGGAACAGGTTAGGTTCCGTGTCATATAAAATGTTTAAGTTCCGTTTCTTTTGATATAGTGCTCAAAATTCTGGAGACAAACATAACATAAGAAAAGGGAACCTGAAAGTATATGCTGTCATTAAAAATGAAATACATTTTATGAAACTATACAACGCGCCAGTTCTGTACCTGTGAAATTTATATGAATATGATGAAATAAAGTACAATAAGATCACAAGAATAACTACACTGTTAAGACGTATTAGAAAAATTTGATATTTTAATGGTGTAGAGCCAATCACTTTGCAACATATGTAAATTATATTTCAATGCAAGGTATACTGCATGTTGAAAAATATATTTAATCCTGATAAAAGATGGATTCGTAAATATAGACTATTGATAAACAAGTTGTAAAAGATATCATGATATACTGGATATACACAAATAAAAGAGGCAAGCGGGAATAAGAGCTCTGGTACACAAGAAGCACCTGGAATGTAAATACTGTAAGACGCAGACAAAAAGAAAGGATGACAAAAAACGGGGATATGAAACATTAAAACTTAACTTTCCACTGGATGCAAAGAGAAGAGAGAGAGAAGAGAGAGAGAGAGAGAGAGAGAGAGAGAGAGAGAGAGAGAGAGAGAGAGAGAGAGAGAGAGAGAGAGAGAGAGAAGAGAGAGAGAGAGAGAGAGAGAGAGAGAGAGAGAGAGAGAGAGAGAGGAGGAGGAGGAGGAGGAAGGAGAGGAGGTAGAGGTATGTTATTATGCATTAGGATATGTAAAACACCATTGCTTATTGATAAGGCGAGGCGCTCCGGAGCATCACAAAAACCCGAATATAAGACGCACCAAGTCAGGTGCTGCAATAACATATATGAAGCATGGGACCACACGAGGCACCGCGACACGCAGTCATTCAGACCCCAGGAGGTTCTTATGCATTACTCCTCACGCTCATAAAGATTATCAGAGTAAAATGTGTGTCGGCCAGGGTGACGCCACGCACCAGGAGACCAGAGCCTTGAGAATGACGGCCTCCGAGGTGACTCTCAAAGGCTCCTGAAGAAGTTGGCTCAAGGCTTCAGGAGACAGATCCAGGAGCGACTGAGATAACAGCACCGCGTTGCCGTTGTCCATGAAGAC